AGACAGACAGACAGACAGACAGACAGACAGAGACAGACAGAGAGGGAGGGAGGGAGAGAGACAGAGACAGAGACAGAGACAGAGACAGAGACAGAGACAGAGAGAGCTTGTACCTTGTATACTCAATGAAATCCAGAAACATTATTTGTAAGAGATCAGAATTCTAGACATTCACAGTGATCATAAGCTTGAATGAAGATATTGACTCAAGAGGAAAACAATTTCTTACAACATGTGAATATGTCATTGAATACAGCACCAAATATAGAACCATCAAATAAAATTCCTACCTATGCACCTATTAGCACTTGTAAAAACCAGATAGGGTTATATGGATGTGATAAAAATTAAAGTTAGTAACTGTAGTAAAACCAAAATAGTCGAAGAAGAGGTTGCATAGAGGATGAAGAGAGGGAGCATCACACAAAGAAAGTTGTATACAGTTTAGTAGGAGAGAGACAGGTGAGTAGATTTTAGCTTGTGAGATAAATAAATGCATAGCTAATTGCAAAGAAAGCATGCTATGAATCTTGTACAGGAAGTACTTTACATAATATTAAGTAGTCCATAAACCTAGAAATGTCAGTGGATAAATAAAAACAATGAGTGTATATTTTTTAGTCACACCACAGCCCAGTAAAGCTTTGCAAAAGGATAGTGAATGCTCCAGGGCACTGTGTTTCACCAAGTGATCAGGGTCCCAAGGTGTCTCTTGGTGTCGGACAATCTAGCACCTTATCATTTGACTTTTGGGTGGTAGTTGGGGAAAAAAGAGAGAGGCTGGATATATAATTTACCATAGCAACTCACATTCCATTGGCAAGACTAGCCTAGGAGCACAGAGGGTGGGGAAATGGTATCTTGCTGTATACCCAGGAAAGAGCATTCTCTGTTGCTATTACAAAAGCTCTAAGAGATCCTAAGAACATTGAAAATTTCACAGAGAAGGAATCATTTGAGGGGGGTCTTGGGAGGAGGGCAAGACATTGGAAACTAGAGTGGGTGTTGCCATTAGATAAGCAAAGACATTGAGGCAGGTAAGCCAAAGGATGTGGTCAGGGAACAATCTATATTCTTGGTTGGCTAATGTATAAGAAGAGAGGTAGCTGGTTTCAGGTGCACAGACCTGCACCTTGAAGGCAACTGTATACAGCAACTTACTTGTTCATGTCTGTGTTCACCACCTGTGTGGAAGATGGACTGAGAGATTGAGGACAGAAAGATTAAGCTAGAAGAAAGGATGCTGTCCCAATGTGTCTCTAGTCCCTATTTGCAATATGACTGTATTGCGCTGTATTGCTCTTCCGCTCTGTTTCCCTTAGCAAATCTCTGCCTGCCTGACTGCATCCACACTGGATCACACATTGGAAATCAAAGGGGCAGCACTGGCCACCTTTGTTCATCATTCTGCTTTTTCCGTGACACCTGCTCATCAGATCTCTCGCTTCAGAGCCTCATTCCTAGGGACACGTTAGCGCAGTGACTGCCACTCTGTGCAAGCCCTAGCAAGGTGTATTCATCAGGGTTTTTCTGAGAAGCAGAATCAGCTGTGTGTGTGTGTGTGTGTGTGTGTGTGTGTGTGTGTGTGTGTGTGTGATGCAAAATCAGCCCTGTGTGTGTGTGCACACATTTATAAATAATAAAGATGTTCGTTATAAGGAATTAGATTGCAGGACTATGAAAGCTGACATCCTTAGATCTACATGCTGAGTCAGAAGCTAGAAACGCAGAAGAGCTGTTGGTGATGTTCTGGTCTAAATACAAGGCCTGAGAACCAGGATAATTAGCCATGTGTGTGGCTCCAGCCAAAGGCAAGCAAACTGGAGACCCAGGAAGAGCAATGTGGTCCAGTGCAGACAGCAGAGAAAGGTGATACATGATTCTAAGGCAGGCAGGCAGTTCTCTCTTGCTCAGGGAACGCCACCCTTTGTTCTAGTCAGGCCTCAGTCCACCCACATTGGAAAGCACAATCTGCTTTATTTATTTCAATATTAGTTTCATCTAGAAACTCCCAGCATTATATAAAAACTGTAAATGTGCACATGTTGTTTCCAGTAGCAATTCTCAGTGATAGAGATTTAGGTCTTACTCCATTAATCAAAGACAAACAGGGTCCACCTTTTATCAGTATTTCACTTTAATAGACACAGAATAAAATTCATTGTTTGTGGAACAAATCTCAGTGTTGCCTTAGCCCTGTGTGTACCATAGTTTCTAATCTGTATAGTTATGCAGAAGGTATTCTTAGGTCTCTTTAAAGATTAAAACACAAAGGTTTAAAAGAGGTTGAGTGATTTATCCAAATGCAGCAGTAGGAGCCAGGAGTGGAAACATAGCAGACTTACTCCAAAAATCATCCTCTTAACCTGGATATTCTGGAATGCTTTTCATATATTAATATTAGTATTATTTGGATTAAATGAAATAATGTATATAATGCTTACCACAATGCCTGATACATAAGATCTAATAAATCTTATTTATTCTTTGCCATAGTGATATTCAGGATAGATATTATTTTTCTAGTGAAAAAAGCAACCTGGAAAACTATGTGTTTTTCTTACATGGGAAAATAAAGATTCAGGCACTAGTTTTCTGCTTGCTCATAAAACCTTAAAACCTAAGAGCTTCCATTATGGCAAGATGCAAAAAAAAAAGAGTGTTTTTCCCATCAAGTGCATCTAGAATCTTGTTTTAAAATGTCAAGACATAGAAGATACAGCTTAGTTAATCTTGCACAAGTTACAAGTTATGAGTATGTGGCACCTTCCTAGGGATAAAAGGTATAGAAGTGAAGATACAGGGACCTAATTGGTCAAGAGTTGCTAGGAGGTCTCCAGGATAGACACACCTATTAGCAGTTACACATTTTCTCACACAGGGACTATTCCTCTGCTACCTATTCTTCCTTGAGTTCAGGGTGAAGCATTATTTATTGAAAGCATGGTTTATGTGTTAGTTAAAATTAGGTCTGAGAGATGGACCAAAACAGAACCAGGCTCAGAATGGCTCCTCCCACAGTTTACTACAGCTTCATTTGTTCATGATTTATAGACCTGGTGCTGCCCCATGATGAGTGGGCCAAATGCGAAGTCCCACCTTCCCCACCACCGCGTTCCGGGCTGGAATTGGACCTTGAAGATTACAGCCACAGGTATTGATAAAATGATGTATTGTAAATGTTCCCTGGTAAGGTATTTCTGAGAAAACTCAGCAACCTAATGCTAACTATTTCTTTTCAGAATGAGAGTCTCATGTTATATAGAATTCCTTTCCAATAAGAGCCTCTCAGAGTTGATAGCTTAGATCGCTCATAGTTTCCTTCTTGAAATTTAAAATTTGTCTTTATATTCCTAAACTTTTTCAGAAAATGGTTTTGAAAAGCTTGTAACTTGTAAACTTGAAAACTTTGAGCAATGAAACTCAAAGAAAAGCTATATAAGAAGGCATAAAACAAAGCTGAGGAAGCATAAAGCTTAGGGGAGGGTTTTACTTTTTTTCATAATTGGTCAACCTTAAAGGTATTTTAAAAAAATAGATATTTGAAAACAGTTAATGAAATATAAAAATTAAAGCAATGCCATATACAAATCTAAAATATTGAAAAGATACCCAGTATTATGTCCATTCTGTAATAGAAACTTTAAAAAATCAATAATTTTTAAAATCACAGAAGCATGAGAGAGGGAGATTTACTAAGCGTACATGCTATTTGACTAGTGGAATTCATAGATTTTGTTCTTCTGATGAGTTTTAAAAATCTTTAAATTGTCTTTTTGCTATTTTCAGTATTTATTATGGCTGTTAAAAACTGTGTATTTTATTGCATTCTGTGTCCCATGATAATCCTGTGAAATTTTTTCATTTTTCTTGCTGCAATGATAGTGTCATTTCATTATGCTTTTTAATACAATCTGCTAAAAATAAAGCAACACAGCAAGAGTGTAGCTAACTGTATTAGACAGAAACTTGTATGTGTGTGCATATAGCTATCTTTAATTCTTATATTTTTGAAATCAATTACCTTCTCAAATATGATTTCATGAACTTAATATAATTTTGTAATCAAAATAATGTTCTAGGTCAATATCTCTGTAGTTTTCATAAAAGAAAATGAGAACATACTTAATTTTTTTCATTATTTCCACTGTTTGTTTCAGCCCCAAAGGATAGTCTGTTGGTGTCAAAAAAAGTTCATGTTTTAATAAGTTCACAGCTTGTACTTGAGCGTTTATGCTGTGTACACTGTATGTACAAAACCATTGAGATGGTACAAAGCTGAGTCAGAGAGAAACCCTGCTCTCAACAAGCCAGTAGATTACTGGGCAAAGTGATAGTGAGATCATGATATCTGAAGGGATTCTTTTTTTTAAGGGATGAAATGATTCTTAAAAGAATGTGTGATAGCTATAATAATCTGGGCTTTTGAGGCAGAGGAAAGTGCTTCCAGGTACAAAAATTGGAGAACATAGTAAAAGCAGCCTTGAACTGAAGCTTAAATTGTCCCTGGAGGTGAGCATGAGATGGTCAGGAAGAAAGTGAGCTTCAGAGAGGGAAGGGCAGATAGAAGGAATAGTGAAGGGAGGGAGAGCGGATTGATCTGTACGACTTAGGCCCTGGATGGCTGGCTAGATGAGGGAGCAGCAACGAATTCTAAACACCTCCTCTGGGACACTAAATTCTTTCTGTAGTGTATGGACAGACAACAGGTCTGGCAACACCTAGATTTTCTTTGTGTATAATGTGAATTGCACAAATGGAAGAGGCCCTGTGGCCCCTGCTGGTGCAGTGCTGTTCTGGGAACTGGGGCTCTCTGTAAGAAACCTTCAGGGGAGAGAGGTGGTGAGGAGACAAGGCAGAGGAATCACTGGGATTTAGCAAGGGCCTTCGTGGCTTCTTCACTGTCTCACAGATTTCTTGCCTTCTTTTCCAGAAAGGATGTTTCTCTGTAATTTGGGGAGTAAAAATCCAGGCATACATTGTCGCCTTATGATGTAAAGCTTTATTTCTTGGTACTTCTAGTCACTTCCTTTTCACCTCTGCCTCCGAATCTTCTGTGTTGAAGCTTCTGTTCTCACCACTTTCTTAGAACTGCTCTCTTCAACATCCAGAGCAATCTCTCTTCAGCCAAATGTATGGCATTTATCAGACTGCAGTCTTCTTTTCTGCTCTGCTGTGGTTGGTCATTATGCCATTCACTCCCTCACTCAGCCTTTCAAAGTATTCCTCAGCTTTGAGCGAGACACTGTTTAAGGTACTAAAATGGACTGGAAGCAGGCAGTACAGTGTCCTCTTAAGGAGACAGACACACTGGTAACTCACTTGGAGCTGCAAAGTATCAGGTGCAGAGTTCCCTGGGTGCCCCCAGAATGAGCCCCTGGTCCTGTCTGCAGGGCTGAGGCAGCCTGCACAGGAGATGGACTGAGGGATTTCACAGGGAGTGGGAAGGAGCCCATCATCCAGAGAAGTGGTCTGAAGATCACCTGAGGTCAGAAAAACCAGGTGATTAGAAAAAAATAACACATCCTGTGCTCAGTGTGGCTGGACTGGATAGCATCCTGGGAGAGAAGCAGTGGTTGGGACATAGTCTGCCATGCTCCACAAGCTCATTGCATCAATGAAGAACAGTGGAGAAGCAAAAAAGACAATCAAACCTGAGGGTGGCAGTGTCAGGGCTTGCGCAGTTTCCATTTCAAAGGATGAAGTGGGAGGGGGAAGCTATAGATGAAAAATCCACTAGACTGGGTACCAGCAAGAGAAGAACAGGGCTTGAGCCAGAAAAGAAGCATGCATCAAAAGGAAAGGATGGCAATATTTTTGAGAGGGAAAGAGGAAGTCTCAAGCCTTGCAACCCACCCCTCCCAGGAACTGGTGACCCACACCATCCTGCAGGCCACAGTGTTTCCTAGGTAACCAGGAGCAACTGGGCTTTGGGTGTGTGAAGCTCGGGGAGGAGGGCAGACTGAAGGAGAACCAGGCGGGCTGAGTAGGAGATGCACTGTCTTCAGAAACATTCACAACTGCCTCAAAGGGAAAGCTGTGCTTTAGAAGTGCTGCCAGTCTTAGTAGAACACTGCTGTTGCATGAAGAGAGGGAAGAAATTTGATCAAATTTAATGTTTGTACTTTGAACCAGAATGAAATCAAGAAATTATTTCTACTACATCGTTAGTGATTATGAAAGGGTTAGAATATGGATGCAGACATAAATAAATATAAGGGAAATGTATTTTTACTGTGGCTCCTAAGGAAAAGCTTAAGCAAACTAACAGCGAACAGAATATATTGAATATGGGCTGGGGAGATAGCTCAGTGGTCTAAGTACCTGCCCTGCAAGCACAAGGACCCAGGTTCAATCCCCAGTACTGCATGCTGTGCCGGCCCAGGAACCCTGGGGTGCTGTGCCAGCCACTGAAACCAGTAGTAGTGGTGCACACCTGCAATCCCAGTGCTGGGGAGGCTGAGACAGGAGGCTCACCACTGGTCCAGCTATGTAGCAAGACCCTGTAGATAGACAGACAGACAGATTTTTTTAAAAAAATTTTAAAAGAATATATTGAATATTATTTACATTTTAAGCAACTTTTGAATATTCCTTGTATGTGTATATTTTTTATTTTTCTCCCCTTCCCCCTCTCGTTGCCCTCCCTCCCCACTTCTTCCCCTCCTCTTCCCTCCACACACTAGATTCCCTCCCGCTCCTACTGGTACTAGCCAGTTGCCAGAGCCTAGTCACACACCTGAGGCTTCAGACACAATGCCTTTGTTTCCGTGCATCGTTTTGCTTTTGCTTTTGGCTTTGTCGTGCATGCCTCTCCAGATCTTCTGTTTCCATTTTAGACAGTTCTCCTTGAACACTCACTGCTGCCTCTTCTGGATCTTTCACATCCCCGGTTTGTCACCATCTTCAAGACACTGGCATATGTTCCTCGCTGCCCTTATTTATTCATTATGCAGCATAATCTGACATCGAGTATCATTTCTATGTGATAGATTCCCTCGCTGTTCATGCTGAAAGCACGGCCTTTCTCTCGGCCATGTCTCTGGCCTGCTGTCAACATTCAGCTTCCTGCAGCCTCCGCGCAGCCCACTCAGCCATGAGCGTGCACTAACGCCCTTCAGAATTAAAATGTGTCCTATTTTATAGTTAATCATTGTGTCACCCACTCACTCCAAACACTTTTGATGTGTAGCATAAAATTGCAAAGCATTTCACTAGTCTAAATTACATGTCTAAACTATTTTCATGTTAACTAATTCAGCGCCGCACTTGTTTCAGTACGCGATATGCTCACGTTGGCTCTAACCCCATGATGTCGTATATTGCACACATTTCCCTCCCTAAATATCTGCCAACTCACATCTGATTTGTGTTGCCTTCCTATTTTTTCCTATGGCCAAAGGCATCTTTTTATTTAAGGTTTATCTAAGTATACTTTGTCACAATCACAATAATGGTGACAGAAATATATATGATGATCAAAGTAATAGACGTAAGTCAGGCATATAATATAAATAATGTTTCCTACATACTCATATTTATAAAGCAGCTTTGATTCCTTTGATTATCCTTAATTATATCTTAATATTTATATAAAAATAAAGTCGCTTTTTTGGACTAATCCTAACTGAATGTTACTCTGTCAAGTGACATTACCATCCTATTTTTCAAATGGAGATAGGGCTCGTTATTACCCAAGAGTAAGAAAAAAATGTGGATTCTTATTCTTACTATGTAGATTATTGACACTTTGATAAAAGAATCAAAGAATCAATTGGGGAAAGCATATATTCCTCAAAAAAAATAAATAAATAAATAAATAAATAAAACAAAAGGAAAACCTAAAATGCAAGTTTTACAAAACAGTATAATCAGACCTGCACTCACAGAAAAAATGATGTTGAATTTAGGACCAGGAATTTGTGCTCCTGAGTGGCCACTGTTTTAGCCAAAACTTGTGACTCTGATCCTGGCTTTACCCCTAGCCACCTGTGCATCCTTGGGACTTTAGTCCTCCCCTTTGGGCGTCAGAGTCTTATTTGAAAGATGAGGTGACTTTTAAGCCCTCCCGGCTCTTAAAGTTTTCGATTCTATGAAAGCCATGAGTCTTTCTGACACTAAACTCACATCATTACAAGAGATCAAAGCGTGAATAACTAAGTGCAAACCAAGGTCAGATAACACATTTAAAAGCAACTGCTTCCTAAATAGCAGGACTCAGGCGGAAGCTTGTGTTCCCAGTGGCATCTCGGTATTCTTTAGAGTAGGCTGAAAAGATGAAAGTATGGCTATTAGAAAATGCCAGACATTTTTCTCACAACCAACATATTTTACCACGTCTAGGTAGCACATCCGGTATACGTCACACCTTCACACCTCAGTGACTTCTTCTGTTGAGAATGTGCCTGGACATAAGAAGCACAAAAAAACACATAATTCTAAAGAGTAGATTTAAACATTTGAGAAAGTCTCATGAATGTGTTATGATCGCTTCACTGCAGAGTACCTGAGATCCTCATTCAGAGATAACCCTAGCCAGCCAAAACAAAAAAGATTATTACTAACTAGCTCATATCAGTTGAGCTCTTACCATGTGCTAGACATATTATTGTTAGAATATAGCATATCTTAATTTATTTCATTCTTACAACAACCTTTTAGAGTAGATTCTCTCACTACCCATTCTGTAGATATGGGTGCAGGTATATACCTTGACATCTCCTCAGTCCCCAAAACTATTTTAGTCACAGCTCTCCTGAGAGTGACAGAAACAGAAATGACAAGGAAACTGAAAAACATAGGCCAGTGAAAAAACAGAGAAACTTTTAGTAATTTGGGATGCAAGTACAGGTCTATTCATTTGCTTACTTGCAAACTATTACTACAGCACTAACTCTGTGCAAACACAAATCTCTTTACTTCCTAATCTTATCTTATGCTATCCTCTAAACTACCTTATATAGTATAGATATGTGATTATAATTATTTTAGATGTGAGGACATGGAAGATCAGAGAAGTCCTGTACCTTGCTTAGTCACACAGCAAGTACATGGCAGAGGCAGGATTGAAAGTGGGCACCTGCTCTGGCATCCTGGCTTTCAAATACCATGAAATTGTATCATTGCAGTAGATTAGTTTTAGCCATGCTAGAAGGCAATATTAGATATCCATGATGAATAAGCGTAAAAAATAAATTTACTTTGATATGTTCATTTTAACATCAATATTCTTTTATACATTTTAGAATTCTCATCCGAAAAGCATTCTTTACTATTTTATTGTTTAAAATATCAAAATTCAACTGTTTTATAAAACTCCATGTCACTCCTTTAGCTTTCCTGAGGATCCTGGGTTTAAGTTTTCACTGTTTCAGAGATGACGATAGAAGTCAAGTTGGAATAAGACATCTGTGTACTTTTTTTTTTTTTTTTTTTTTTTTTTTTCGCAACCAGGGATTGAACTCAGGCCCTTGAGCTTGCCAGGGAAGCACTTATTCCACTGAGCCATCTCCCCGGCCCCCATCTGTGTACTTTTTACACAGAGAAGATACTAAGTGAAAACATGGCTGTAACTTAATATATAAAAATATGTACTTTATTTCTATATCAAGATATGAGTATTTGTCTGTTAAGTTCTTTGCATAATCCCTTCCATCATCAAGAGAAGTAAATAAAATATGCAGCAGAAGGAACGTTCTTTGAAACTGGCCACAAGTACCACAAGTACCAGGAAGCCTGTAAGGGAAATATGACATACATCTTGTGTCAGACTTCTTAACTGTGTTCTTCATGTGACTTTTGGTATTAATGATGTGCACACTGTCTGGTCAGCATTAACAGGAGTTTTAGAAGATGGACCTGAATAAGGCAGAAAACTGAACTCCCTCAGCCAGGAGCCATTCAAGAGGATGGCTTTCTCCGAGGATGCAGCCTGTCATTTGTGTCTAAGGGAAGGGCACGCTGATCCCACAGGCCTCTCTGACCCCACTTCGGGGCCCTGCTGATATCTGGTGATGTGCTTTGAAGCGCTAATGCTTCCCAGCCCCCCCTCACCCACTTAACGTTATATATGGTACAGCAGGATCCCAATTAGCAGAAGTCAGTGAAGAGTAAAACATGATATTAGCTAGGGAATATTTTATTTAAATTGTACTCCATGATAAAATACATGAAAACAGAGTTGCTGCATCTCAAAAAAGAAAGCTGATATTCAGAGACTTGGTTTAAAATACATGGCTATGGGCTATGTAGAGAGGTGATGAGTGGCTGTGTCCAAAACTAATTCTCTCCTTTCTCTCTCTCCCTCCTCCCTCCCCCTCCGTGATACATGGCTTCTGTCCACAGCTCTGGGGTGGATTCAGCAGTATATTTTCCAGATCAGCACATCAACTTCAGACCCATGACACCGGCCAGGCAGTCTGAATCAATTAACCTGAAAGCTTCGAAGAGCATGGACCTCGGTAAGCAAGGCAGAGGTGACATCCAGGTCACTCCCCAGCCTCAGCCCATCTATCTTCCCAAATGTCCAGATTGCCCAGGTCTTGTTTCTTCAGCTCAGGCCACCGAGAGCAAGGTCTACAGACACCTGGAGGAAGGCATATGGCCATCCTATCTTTCTATCATCTCCCACACATTTTACTATAATTATCCCTTTGTCAAAGAAAGAGAGGTGATTTATTTTTAGAAAGTGGTCCATAAATAGGTCAGAAAGGCATGATCCCCTCTGGAAGCTGTGAAAGCCACAAGAATCTTTAACTCAGCTGCCTTCCTCTTTGCACTATGGCTTCTGCCATTTCATTCCTAGTGGACATAGTTATCATAGGGCCTGAGAAGACAGTGTGGTCAAATGGCACCCCTCACCCTTTGCTTCTTCTGCATGGGTTATGGCTGGGGAAGGCAGCAATGCAGAAGGTTCATCTCTTAAAATGCCCTATGACAAATCCTGTGACACTGGAGGGAGGAGTTGACCTTTGGATGTGTCGGATTGAGAGTATCGAGGTACCCTGGGACAGAGCCTCTGCAGCTCCACTGAGCTTGAGCACCTTAAGGACTTTCTGGGTAGACCAAGGTCCTCTGTCAACTGTGCTCTTCAGGCTGAACCCTGAAAGACATCGCAGATAATCCAGAACATTGCTGCCCTCCCATGGGCTCTTCGAGAGAGTATGTAAAATGAATTCTTAGCAAAATAGTCATTACTTCCTGAATGCTCAGAGGCCAGCCTCTACAATTGTTTTTCTCTAGGCATGTTTTATATTTCACTAACAACAAAAAGAAAATAGAATAATCAAAATTGCATGCTGTACCGAACAATCTAATAAATAGTGCTTATCTGTTGCTCATTTACTGGAGTTCAGGAAAATGCTCAATCATGATGAAACAAAAGAAATTGATTTTAATTTCTATAAATTAACTAAATCACTGGAAAGTACTTGTTCTGATCACCTGTAGTGAGAGACAGATAGGAAACTTTAACAAGGAAGCTGTCTTAAACCCGGTCTGCAGGGTATTTTCTCAAGTGTGAACCTCTGACCAACCAAAGGAATAATGTATGACAGTGACATTGATTATTACTAATAATTTAGGGAGCAATTTATTTTTATGAAGTACTTGATAAATATTTCCTATTCTGTCTTCCCAGTTTCTCTATAAAGAAGATGAATGAATATAAACTGCTCTTAATTTGGGAGGGAGAAATATATTACTGTTTTCTTTAGTTAATTAAAAAAATTGCCAGTATGATGGTTTTATATCTTTTCTGCAAAAGACAAAAATAATACAGCATCCATTTTAACTTAAGAGAGAAAAACATTATGGAATCTGTAAAAAAAAAAAATAAAGCCTAAGTCATGCCAAAAACTAGTTCAGCTCTTATTTATTATTACTGAAAAATTGTTTGGAGAAATTTTCTCTTTTAAATTGAAATCATCTTTACAAAATATCCGTAGTTAGAAGTCAGCCTTTGTGTTTTGCTGTGCATATCCCTTCAATGACAAAATAATACTAATATGGGTCCAGTTTACAAAATTGGGTGGATTAAGAGTTATTTTCTTTAAGGCACAAACTAAAAACTTTGGCTAAACCACACCATACAGCAGAAATACTCAAAATGCTATAAAAACATACTTTAGAGTACTCATCACAGTTTATCCTGTCCAGGAAATATACGTTAAAGCAGATAATCTGGCAGAAGGCCTGGGGGTGAGCCTGCTGGAATCGTCAGCTTCCTGTTCCCCAGAACGTGCAGTAGGATGAGCTCAATAAATGTATTGGCATTCCCAGTGTGTAAGCTCAGGGGACACCACAATGACAAGCATGTTTCCTGTTTGATTAAGAGAGTATAACGTCATGTGTAGTTTTAGTTGTCATGTATAGCCCTGGGCCAATGTTGGAAAACTGTATTTGCTGAAGAGTTGGTAATGAAGGGTAATAATACCAGTAGGATCAAGATTCATCTCCAGAAGGTTTCTACAAATGTACTTAGGTTCAATACCAAATTAGTTCTATTTTTCATCAGGAAAAATGTCCATTTCATACTTCAAAATAAAACATAAAAGTGGTGAATCTCCTACAGTATTTATTCTTTTTTTTTTCTCTCTACAATTTTTTTCCGTTTTTTATTTTATTTTTTTTCAAAGTTTTATTG